AAATCACTGAACACGTTTGTCCTTCAAAGTTTGATTCCTCTTTCGTCTTTTCCAGACTGGACTATTGCAATGGTCCTTTTCATGGTGTCACCAAAAAGTCTTTTTCAAAGCTTCAGTCAGTAGAGAATCGTGCGGCCAAGATGATTTTGGGTGATTCGATCATGTTACGCCTATTTTGAATAAGTTGAACTGGCTGAGGGTTGAGAAACGTGTTTTCTTCAAGCTAGCAGTTTTGATGTTTAAATGTGTCAATAATGCAGCACCTCCCTATTTCATTGATAGATTGGAATCATACAAATGTCATTTTTCATAATATTCCTTCCGATCAACCGAGCGCAATTTGTTTTTTATCCCGACTACAAAGTTAGCTACGGGTTCCCGCAACTTTGCGTTCTTGGCCCGGTTGTTTGGAATGGTTTACCTATTTACTTACGTGACCCTAACCTACCATTTTTACAATTTCGAAGTCAGCTTAAAACTTATTTATTTGCACAATGAATTTTTGGTAAATTTTCATCTGTAAAAAACATTAACGAATTATTACAAATGACTTTTTGGTTATTTTATTGCGTTTCCTCCAACTGGATGTGATAGCTTTTCTATCTCTTTATATAAATACACATACATTATATACAATACACACAAACAAGCATAAACACACACACACACATATATATATATATATACATACGCCCACAGGAAGTTCAACAACTAAAATGTATTTCAAGTTTTAAAAAGGTTTTGAAGATAAAAAGATTAAATAAATAAAATATCTATCTATCTACTGTTTGTTTAGACCTTTTATACGGAGCATGTATGGTTTATGCATTCATTCGTTCACTTCACCATTCATTCATCAATTAATTAAATAATTCACATTCATATCATTACCCAACCATTCAATCATTTATTCATTCATCTTATCCATTAATCGTCAATTTAACCAGTTCTTTATTCATTCATTCCTTCATTCATTGATTAATTAATTCATTCATTCAATCATTCATTCGTCTTATTCATTAATCGCCAATTTAACCAATTCTTAATTCATTCATTTATTCTTTTACTCATCCATCAGATCATTCGTTCGTAACTACTGACCAAACATATTGAACCTAATATAAAATGAATAAATTAACTAACTAATTAATTAATAATTTATGATAATGAGTTAAAAGAATGAATGAATTATGAAAATGAGTTAAATGAATGAATGAATAAATGAAAAAATAAGTTAATTAAAATAAATCGACAATGAGAAGAATGAGCGATGGATGAAAAAATATACAACTAAAGAAAGTATGAATAAATGAATGAAAAAATGAATGAACGAACTAATGAACAAATGAGTGAACGAATAAAAAAGGAAAAAAGAATTTAATGAACGAATGAATGTATCGATATAATAATTGAATTAAATAAACAATCAAAAGCTATGACAGTAGAAAAAACAAATTTATGAATAAATGAATGAATGAATGAACGAATGAATGAATGAATAAATGGATGAACGAACAAGTACATATATTAATTGTGATAGAAGGAATGAATGAAAACAGGTAAAATGAATATACATGAATGAATGAATTAATTAATTAATGACTCATTAATTTATTGACGCAATGCTGAATGAATAAATGAATGAACAAATGAATGAATGAATGAACAAATGAATGAATGAAAGACAGAATACAGAAAATAATATGGATAGTTGAATGAATGAGTGAATGAATGAATGAGAGATGAAATAAATAGATACATTAAACAAAAATTATTGAAAAAATTTAACAAAATAAATAATGCGTAAATATATATATATATATATTTATAGCCATTAATTATAATAATAATTATACCTAATTATAAATTACAGATATAATTATTTTAATCAGTGTCATCCTTTACACAGCCATCATCATCATCATCCCCCATCGGCAACATAATCATCATCATAATCATCATCATCATCATCATCATCAAAAAATATCATCACAACCACCACCAGCAGAACTATCACAATCATCAGCGTCTATTAATATTAGAAAGAAAGAAGAAGAGAATGACTTAAAAACACTTCTTGTGTTTAATTGCAACAAAACAACAACAACAATAGCAACAACAACAATAGCAACAAAAACTGAGTGAAGTTTTTTCTAACATTTTATACAAACAAAAAAAATTTGTTTGAAAAAAATAATCAAAAGCATAAAATTTTGAAACTTTGTACACTGCGTGAATTCAACAAACAAAAAGATGAATGAATGATTGAGTAAATAAATAAACGAAAGTAAATCTGGATGAATGAACAAATGAATGAGCAAATGAATGTATGAATAAATGAATGAATGAATGGATAGCTGCACAGTGTAAAGACAAGATTATGGTTTCAATCGTTCGTCCATTCATTCATTCATTCATTCGTTCATTCATTCAATCAAGCTGCAAATAAAATTTATGCCACCATTCAAATCAACCAGTTAAAATCAATTGCACCAATAAAGAACCAATAAAATTTCAGCTGTCAACTAGCCAGCCAATAAAAATGAATTTCAACTGAATTTTAACCAATGAAAATGATCTACACGACTAAAGACAATTTTAAAAAGAGAATTTTAACGCGATGAATGAAATTCGGCCTTAAAAAACTAATCCGTCGATAAAAATTGATCTTCACGGTATGATAAAAATAGATATAAAAACAACCAGCCAATGATATCGACACTGTTATTAACCACCA